CAAAAAATTTTTAAAGGCCCCCGGGGGGGCTTTTTGGGAAGGGGGGGGAAAGGGGGGTTTTTTTTTTTCCCAAAAACCCCCCTTTTTTTAAAAAACCCAAAAAAAAAAGGGGTTTTTCCCCAAAAAGGGGGGGGGAATTCCCTTGAGGCCAATAACCCCCCTTAAAAACCCCCCCTTTTTTCCCCCCCAAAAGGGGGGAAAAAAAAAGATGTTTTTTCCCCCCCCCTTTTTCCCAAATTTTTTCCTTTTCAAAAAAAAAAAGGGGGGGGAAAGGAAAAAAATTTAAAAAACCCTTTTTAAAAAAACCAAAAAAATTTTTAAAAAAACCCCCGGGGGAAAAAAAAAAAAAAAAAAAAACTTCCCCCAAAAAAAAATTTTAAAAAGGGTTAAAAAAAAATTTCCTTTTTTAAAAAAAGGGGTTAAAAAAAAAAGGGGGGAAAAAAAAAAGGGGGGGGGGGACCTTTGGGGTTTTCAAAAAAAAGGGTTTTAAAAAAAAAGGAAAAAATTTTCCCCCCTTTTTTTTTGGGGAAAAAAAATTTTAAAACCCCCCGGGTTGGGGCCCCCCCTTTTTTTAAAAAAAAAAAAAAAAAAAAAAAAAAAACCCCTGTCCCCCAAAAAAAAATTTTTTTTTTAAAAGAAAAGGGGTTTTTGTTTTTTTTTTAAAATTTTTTAAAAAAAATCCTTTTTTAAAAAGGGGGGGAATTTTGGCCCAGGATACTCATAGGAAACACATTCTACAGCATAATGAGTCAACGAGATAGTCAGTTGATCAATAAAATGCTGGCCCACAGATGGCCCGAATTTTCATCCTGTTCCCTACTTGTATGTCTCATAACAAAAAAAATGCTTTCAAATGAGCTGATGTGGGTAACAAGCTCTTAGCTTGCCAATAAATTTTAGGAATCCTTAACCTGTAAATACTTTGTCAATAAAGCTAGGGATCCTTAACCTTGTCAACCCCTTTGTAAAAAAAAAAAAAGAAAAAAAAAAAGCTTCTAGTACCAGCCAACCCTTTGCTAAAGGGCTAAGAGAGAGGGGAGAATGTGCCTTTTTTCAGTGATTTTTCATATGTACGATACTAAAGCAGCAGGAGTCAATAAAGGCTATAGCGCCAGCCAACGATAAAGTGTAGCATTAACAGTGTAGCGGGTAAGTTAAGCGATTAATTGACAAAAAAAGGACAGCATGAAACTGACTCCTCTATTGTTGTTGAGGTATATAGGGCTACAACACTGCCCCCTTTCTGCTGCCGCCATCACCACCACTATGTAAGGCTTATCTTTCAAGGGCCCTTATACACCCAACAACAAACAATACACCACCACTCGTGACATTCTTAATGCCAAAATTTTAAATTCATTCTAGAGTATATATCATGTTTGTATGTTATTAAATTGTTTATTAAATCATATTAAATAAATTGTGCTAGTTTAAATAAGCGTAGAGTTGATATTAGGTCATATTGAAGGACTATCTTGTCCTGTCACCCAACACAATTCCCAACATACGCCAGAAATAGACCTCTCTGGAACACTTGTTTGAGTGACAGGGGTCCAGTGACTCTCAAGCTGGTCCTAGTGGCATTAAAAAAACAAAGAAGGGGAAGGAACCTAGGATAAAGACTTGGTACCTGAAGTCTTTATGGAAGGGATTCCCCTTCCAACAATTGTAAACTTCTCCATCCTCTCCCCTCCTGTCTTCCGTACATCACCATGTCTTCAATAAAGGTAAGTTTATTATTGTTTTAAATTTTTCATGTATCATTGTTTTCTGTGTAGGTAAATGTATATTTCACGTAGAAAATATTTTTTTTAATACTTTTGGGTGTCTGAAATGGATTAATTGGATTTCCCTTATTTCTTATGGGAAAAATTAATTTGGAGTAAGTCAAATTCGGGATAAGTCACTCTCTCTGGGAAAGGATTAATTACGTAATCTGGGGTCCACTATAATGGGACTGCCAATTCCTCTCGTAACATTCAACCCAGCTGGGATTGCTTGACAAAAGTTTAAAATTTAGAGAATGTCTTTCAAGCCAAACACTTGCCACACTGTGGAACAGTAAACATAAGGGCTGGCAAAGGCTCAAGACACTTACAGACAGTAGCAATGTGCTCCCTCTCCAAAAAAAAAAAAAAAAAAAAAAAAACTTATATAGTGCTAAATTATATGCATATAAATCTTGCAATAAGGACAAGGGAAAAAAGGAAAAAGCTAAAGCATTTACAGATATACAAGACTAACTAACAAGCCAGGGAAAGTGAGTCTACCATCAAGTTGTTTTTTCCAGAGATATGCTTGATAGACATGTTATAAGGTTATAGTCTTAAGGCCCAGTGCTCTTGTTCCACATAGAGCTCTGATAGGTCAGTGGATTGTGGTCACTGTACACCTGAACCACATGCAGAGAGGATGACACTTACAAGTCAAAGTGCTCTAGTGCAAGGATCAGAGCTAGAGTCCTCTCTCTAGTGTGGAGTAGGCCCGTTGTTTAGGTTTTAGCTTGGTTGAAAAGCAGGTAACCAAATGGATGACTGTCTCACCAGAGTCTTGAAGCACAATTGCATCAACTTCCACCTCACAGGCATGCACCTCACAGGCTTTGAATAGTTAGGAGACAGCAATATGGGAGCTGCACACAGCAATTTTTTGATCTTGGAAAAAAGCTCCTTGGCAATTTTTTTTTTCTAGGGCTGGTAAGGGAGGTTAAGGGAGCCACAATATCAGAGAAACTTTTATAAAATCCTGTCATATTGAGGAACCTTGGAAAGGATTTTCTTTATCAGGAGAACTGGATAATTCTGAATGGCCAAAACATTAATGAATTTGGGTGCCACCTTACCTTTCCCGACTTATGACCTAAAAATGTTATTGTAGATTGAGCAAAGGATGTCTTGCTGAGGTTTACTGTTAATTTATATTTTCTAAACCTCTTGAAAAGAACTTTAACCCGTAAATGGTCCAAACGTATATATGCGTTCTTACGCTAGTGCCCCAAACATATATATCGTTTTATTTTTCCTTCCTTCAGATATGGCATGATTGGCTGAGATGCCTTGTCAGCAAGAAGGGTCTTAGCATTCAGTGTGCACTGTATTAAAAAAAATATGGGACCACTTAGTACCTTGTGGGAGCACCAGTTCAAAATGAGCGCAGCTAGAGCAAACATCACGGCAAACACCAGGATTCACTGATTTCATGTAATATTAGCTCTCCCATTTTAAGAGGAAAGTGATGTTGACCCGAGTTTAGTGGCTTTGAGGTGGATGTGGCCATAAGTGGTCAAGGAAATATCAAAAAACTTTGATATAACCCCTGTGCAACATTTCTGCAGCACCTTTCAGAATGTCTTATAACCTATGCCCTAAGTAAAGAGAAACAATTCCGGAATGTATACTTGTTCAGCAGGCTGGCTGAATGGCTGACTGGCTGGCTGGCTGGCTGGCTGGCTGGCCGGCTGCTGGTGGCCTGGCTCCATTTGTTTGTCTGTGGTCTGTCTAGCTCTGTCTATCTTTGTCTCTGTCTGTATCTGTCCTATCTCATTCTATCTGTCTCTGACTATCTCTGTCTCACAGGTACACATAATACAAGTATACATAGTGTAAATTACTAAGATAACCCAAAAAAATCCAGACAAAGCGCTATACTCTGCTTGAAGATATGAGTGAACATGATGACGCAGTCTTGTGGCTCCCTGAGACAGAGCTAGACGGATAGACAGACAGACAGGGAGCTTGACAGACAGACAGACAGACACTTCACTGTCAGGGGTGGACTGAGGCTTGTTTTACATGTTTCAAGGCAACTTATTATTACGTCTTCTTCTTCTTCTTCTCTTCTTCTTCTTCTTCTTCTTCTTCTTCTTCTTCTTCTTCTTCTTCTTCTTCTTCTTCTTCTTCTTCTTTCTTCTTCTTCTTCTTTTCTTCTTCTTCTTCTTCTTCTTTCTTCTCTTCTGTCTTCTTCTTCTTCTTCTTCTTCTTCTTCTTCTTCTTCTTCTTCTTCTTCTTCTTCTTCTTCTTCTTCTTCTTCTTCTTCTTCTTCCACATATCCAATAAATACTTTCTATATATTCCAAGACAATAGTAAATGGCCAAGGCAGGTGTAAATGTCCACCTGTCAGTGTGCTTGTGACAATTTGAGTACAATATCAGTACCTAATACTAGTGTCAGAACAAAGATTGGTTATGAAATGACAAGAACTACTACAAATTGTAATTATCAGAACATAAAAATTCTTCTTTCTTTCAACACACCGGCCGTATCCCACCGAGGCGGGGTGGCCAAAGGAAAAACAGAAAGTTTCTCCTTTTACATTTAGTAATATATACAGGAGAAGAGGTTACTAGCCCCCTTGCTCCCTGGCATTTTAGTCGCCTCTTACAACACGCATGGCTTACGGAGAAGAATTTGTTCCACTTCCCCATGGAGATAAGAGGAAATAAACAAGAATAAGAACTAGAAAGAAAATAGAAGAAAACCCAGAGGGGTGTGTATATATGTGCTTGTACATGTATGTGTAGTGTGACCTAAGTGTAAGTAGAAGTAGCAAGACGTACCTGAAATCTTGCATGTTCATGAGACAGAAAAAAGGACACCAGCAATCCTACCATCATGTAAAACAATTACAGGCTTTCGTTTTACACTCACTTGGCAGGACGGTAGTACCTCCCTGGGCGGTTGCTGTCTACAACCTTACTACCTATAACATAAAAAATTATACAAAATAATATGAAAAATAGAAAAAAATGTATGTCGGCAACACTTCTGCAAGCGACAGGACTCGATGTTGCTATCACATGAGCATCCAGTGCCAACTTCTCGGCCCCATTTCTCTTAAGTACTGACCCTAAGTTTTTTTTATCCTATAACACTTAGAAAAATGTGCTCTTTATTTCCATAAAAAAAAAAAAATTTTCAAAATATTTGGGGCACTGGGGTCGTGAACATATAAATACATTTGGACTTTTTATGGGTTAAGTCGGGAAGTATGTTCATCCCAGGTATCAGAAACCACAAATTATCCAGGTAAGTCTTGGTGTCTACTAGCAACTTTATAGCATGATGGGTCAATTTCTAGAATGTGGCCAGTCTGAATCTTTGTTTGATTTGTCACTTGAAGAATAAGATAAATGCTGCAAAGCAGATATGTTTCCTAATAAAGTGGCTACATATCCCTCTAAAGTGGTTACATTTTTCTTTTAGTGCCCTCTCAAAGGAGGTTCCTTGATGCTGGTGAAGGGCTCTTGATCCAGACAATCTCAGCTGCTTTCCCTTTTCTTCCATTGAATCTGATTGCCTCCCATTATCTGGGCACTATATTGACCCAATGACTTAGCAATTTTTTATGAATATAATACTGGTGCTAAAAATAATAATGTCAATTTTTCAGCCATTCATGATCTGCTAGTACACAACATTAATGAGAGTCTTGCTGATCATGACTCCAAGCAGTGCCTGGTGTGTGCTCCTGACACTCACTCACATTGTTCTGAACCTGCTGACCACGATGACTTCACAGCTGTACCCAAGCCACAACCCTCGTTCATGAACAGATTTTCTTCATTGTCTTCCGTCTTCAAAATGAGAGTAAGCCATTTATTCACTGTCTTCTGTCTTGAACATGAAATTTTCTTCACTGTTTTCTTTATTCCAAATGAGTATAAATTTCATTCTTTGTCTTCTGAATGATAGTGAGACAGTTTATTGTTTTGTATACAAAATGGTGAGGCATTCTCTTCATTGTCTTCCTTTAAGAGTTTTAAAGGTTCTAATTCTCCACCTTGTCATCTTTCTGGCATTTGCTGCATTGGACTTATTGTGTTCTCTTTAAAATTAAGTCATTTGACATTATTCTTCATTCTTCTTGTCATTCTATGAGATAGCTCTCTGGTGTTTCAGAATCAGTACTCATTGTTAAGCTTTCATTGTTTCATAAGCAAGCAGATGGAATTTGGCACAGGTGAATATTATATTATTTCTATTGCCCATCAGAAGATTTGTTGATATTTACCGTATATTACCAGCCATAAGCCACATGGGTATACTTTATCTGAATCAGAGTTTTGTTTAACCCCAGCCACAGGATGCAGGGGTTATATTTTGAGGCCTCAGAGATGGGAGTAAATCTATAACTATTGCCAAAATTTGGATAGCTTTAAAAATAATTTGGACAAGTACATGATTGGAAGTGGTTGGGTATAAGTTGGACCTGCCTAGCATGAGCCAATTATAGGTTTATGAGAAATAGAATGGTGATACCAACAGGGTGTAGTTTATGGCACCTGTACATAAGAATGGAGGAGCACTGCTGTAACCTACTGGCCTATGCTAAGCAGGTTCTCAAATCCAACCACTTTTATATACAGTGGACCCTCAACCAGCGATATTAATCCGTTCCTGAGAGCTCATCGTTAGTCAAAATTATCGTTAGTCAAGTTAATTTTCCCCATAAGAAATAATGGAAATCAAATTAATCCGTGCAAGACACCCAAAAGTATTGAAAAAAAAAAAATTTTACCACATGAAATATTAATTTTAATACACACAAACTGAAGATTACATGCACAGTTACATGACACTTACCTTTATTGAAGATCTGGTGATGATTGATGGGATGGGAGGAGGGGAGAGGTGTTAGTGTTTAGAAGGGGAATCCCCTTCCATTAGCACTTGAGGTAGCAAGTCTTTTTCTGGGGTTACTTTCCTTGTTCTTTTAGTGCCACTAGGACCAGCTTCAGAGTCACTGGACTTCTGTCGCACAACATATCTGTCCATAGATACCTGTACCTCTCGTTCCTTTATGACTTTTCTAAAGTGGTTCACAACATTGTCGGTGTACAGGTTGCCAACACGGCTTGCAGTAGCTGTGTCAGGGTGGTTGCCAACACGGCTTGCAGTAGCTGTGTCAGGGTGATTTTCATCAAAAAAGGTTTGCAATTCTAGCCACTTTGCACACATTTCCTTTATCTTAGAAGTAGGCAACTTCTTCAATTTCTCTCTCCCCTCCTCCGAAGCAGTTTCCTCAGGTCTGCCCTCTTGCTGTTCAAGATGATCTAGCAGCTCATCAGTGGTTAGTTCTTCACTGTCCTCCACCACCAACTCGTCCACATCCTCCCCACTAACCTCCAACCCCAAGGACTTCCCCAATGCCACAATGGATTCCTCAAATGGCATAGGATTCTCAGGGTTAGCCTCAAACCCTTCAAAATCCCTTTTGTCTTCACATTCTGGCCACAGTTTTTTCCAAGAAGAGTTCAATGTCCTCTTAGTCACTTCCTCCCAAGCCTTACCTATAATGTTTACACAATTGAGGATGGTAAAATGATCTTTCCAAAACTCTCTTAGAGTCAGTTGAGTTTCTGAGGTCACTACAAAGCACCTTTCAAACATAGCTTTTGTGTACAGTTTCTTGAAGTTGGAAATAACCTGCTGGTCCATGGGCTGCAGGAGAGGAGTGGTATTAGGAGGCAGAAACTTCACCTTAATGAAGCTTATGTCCCTAGAAAGTCGCTCTGCCAAGTCTGAAGGATGACCATGAGCATTGTCTATACCAGGAGGCACTTAAGGTCTAATTTCTTTTCAATTAGGTAATTTTTCACATTGGGGGCAAATGCATGGTGTAAACAGTCATAGAAAAAGTCCCTAGTGACCCATGCCTTACTGTTTGCCCTCCACAGCAGACACAAATTAGCCTTGAGGACATTGTTTTTCCTGAACACTCTGGGAGCTTCAGAGTGATACACCAATAAAGGCTTCACTTTGCAATCACCACTAGCATTGGCACACATCAACAGAGTAAGCCTGTCTTTCATAGGCTTATGTCCTGAGAGTGCCTTTACCTCCTGAGTAATGTACGTCCTGCTTGGCATTTTCTTCTAAAACAGGCCTGTTTCGTCACAATTAAACACTTGTTCAGGTTTCAGTCCTTCACTGTCTATGTACTCCTTGAATTCCTGCACATATTTTTCAGCCGCTTTGTGGTCCGAACTGGCAGCCTCACCTTGCCTTATCACACTATGAATGCCACTACGCTTCTTAAATCTCTCAAACCAACCTTTGCTGGCCTTAAATTCACTCACATCACTAGTTGCTGGCATTTTTTTAATTAAATCGTCATGCAACTTCCTAGCCTTTTCACATATGATCGCTTGAGAGATGCTGTCTCCTGCTATCTGTTTCTCGTTTATCCACACCAATAACAGTCTTTCAACATCTTCTATCACTTGCAATCTCAGTTTCGAAAACATAGTTGCACCTTTGGCAAGAACAGCTTCCTTGATTGCCGTTTTCTTGCCCACAATAGTAGCGATGGTTGATTGGGGTTTATTATACAACCTGACCGGCTCAGAGACACGCACTCCACTTTCATACTTAGCAATGATCTCTTTCTTCATCTCCATAGTAATTCTCACCCTTTTTGCTGTAGGGTTGGCACTAGAAGCTTTCTTGGGGCCCATGGTGACTTATTTTGCAGGTGCAATCACTACAAAGGCTGTGATAATATGAAATGTTCCAGTTGTTGTATGTTTGGAAGCGACCGCGGTGGCTGGCTGGCTTGTAAACACTGGCACCCAAGGGACAAGTGAGGCGCGCTCAGGCCAAAGTGGACGCGTATGGTACGGAACGAATAGCTCTGGTCGGGTTTTTAAGCGCTAGTTGAGGCAAAATTTTTGCGTTAAAATGTATCGCTAGTCTGATTTATCGTTAATCGATGCCATCGCTGGTCGCGGGTCCACTGTATATATTTTTTTAACACACCAGCCGTATCCCACCGAGGCAGGGTGACCTTAAAATAAAAACAAAAGTTTTATTACAATTCTTGTTGGTGGTGGAGAATGAATACTCTTCGGAGGAGATGTGTTACTTTATTGTTTTGGTCGTATGTACATGTCTTACGAGCCACCATGTTTGATGTACGTATATACTGTATACTCATAAATTCTAGCGGCTTCAAATCAAGGAGGAGAAAGTTGGTAGGCCCACATGTGAGAGAATGGGTCTGTGTGGTCATCTGCACACAGTGCATAATGAGAAAAAAAATGACCGTTTTTTTTTTAATTGAAATGCCGACTTCGTGGTTTATTTTCATGTAGTATTTATGGTTGTATTCTCATTTTCTTGGTCGCGTTTGATAGAATGGAGAACATATTATAGAAGTAGAGGTGATTTTGATTGGTTTTACAATGAAAAGAACCTTGAATTGGAGCTCAAAGTAGGGGAAATGTTTGATTTTTGCCCATGTTCATAAGTAAACAAATGATGTCATATTCCAATAAATATCCAAGTAGCCATTCTAATATGCAGTCATGAATGGGTTGACATTATTTATACAATTATTACAATATTGCAGTAGTCTGCATAACAGTAAATCTTCTATTTTTTGTTTGTATAAAAATTCAAAATAGAAAGCAAGAGTAATATCAGAGGGGCCTGGAGATGTGACTGATGAACAAAGAAAATGTTATTTTAGAGCCAGGAATGTCTGCATTGTTCATTCTGGACCCTATTTTGAAATTGTCATATTTTTAAATTTTCGTGAAATTGGCCAAATTGCAAATTTCTGACCACGTTATTGGGTAGTTGAAATCGGTAAATGGGCAGTTTTTTGTACTCAATCGATAGAAAAAATGGAGTTCTAAAGAAATAGCTATGAGTTTGGTCAACTGGAAAAATGGAATTAGCTGAAAATAGGGCTGAAAGTGGGCGAAATCGCCGATTCGTAAATATCGCTGTGGTCCCTAACTTCACAAAAGCATAATTCCATCAGTTTTCCATCAAATTTATTTTTTTTGGTGTCATTACAACCGGGAAAAGCTTCTCTGTCATTTCATAATTTTTTTTTTGGGGGGGGGGGGGGGGGGGGATTTTGTGACACCAGGAGACACCTCAGGATTTGGGGTTGCGACAGTCAAGGGGTTAACCCTTTGACTGTTTCGGTCGTATATATACGTCTTACAAGCCAATGTGTTTGACGTATATAGTATACTCAAAAATTCTAGCGGCTTCAAATCAAGCAGGATAAAGCTGGTAGTCCCACATGTGAGAGAATGGGTCTGTGTGGTCAGTGTGCACCACATAAAAAATCGTGCAGCACGCAGTGCATAATGAGAAAAAAAAACTCCGACTTCGTTTTTGGATTAAAACCCTGATTTTGAGCTGTATTTTCGTATAGTTTTTATGGTTATATTCTCTTTTTTGTAGTCACGTTTGATAGAATGGAAAACATATAGAAATAGAGGTGATTTTGATTTGTTTTATTATTAAAAGGACCTTGAAATTGAGCTCAAAGTAGGGGAAATGTTTGATTTTTGCCGACATTCAAGAGTAAACAAATGATGTCATTGCCTAATAAATGTCCAACTAGCAATTCTGATATGCAGTCATGATGGGTTGACATTATACAGTTATTACAATATTGCAGTAGTCTGTATAACAGTAAATCTTCTATTTTTTATTTGAATAAAAATTCCAAATAGAAAGCAGAGGGGCCTGGAGATGTGACTGATGAACAAATAAAATGTTATTTTAGAGTCAGGAATGTCTGCAGTGTTCATTCTGGACCCCATTTTGAAATTGGCATATTTTTTAATTTGTGTGAAATTGGCCAAATTGCCAATTTCTGACCACTTTATTGGGTAGTTGAAATTGGTAAATGGGCAGTTTCTTGTACTCAATAGATAGAAGAAATGGAGTTCTAAAGAAATAGTTATGAGTTTGGCCATCTGGAACAATGGAATTAGTTGAAAATAGAGCTCAGAATGGGCGAAATCGCTGATTCGTAAATATATAGCCGAGTTGCTAACTTTGCGAGAGCGTAATTCCGTCAGTTTTCCATCAAATTTCATACTTTTGGTGTCATTACCATCGGAAAAAGAGGGGAATACATGAGAGTATAGTTATACAGTGGAACCCCGAATATCGGCTGTAATCCATTCCAGAAGGTCAGCCTAAATTTGAAATGGCCTAAATTCGAAACAGTATTTCTCATAAGAATTAATGTAAATACAATTATCCGTTCCAGACACCCAAAAATAATAAAAAATTACATTTTGTAAAGTTTAACTATAGTTTTACATACACAAAACAATGATAAATGTAAATAAATATATAAACATTACATGCACTCTTGCTGGCATATGGAAGAAGGTGAGGAGGGGAGAGGGAGTTGGGGTTATTGTTTGGAAGGGGAATCCCCCTCCATAATGACTTCAGGTAACAAGTCCCTCTCTGGGGTTACTTCCCTTCTTTGTCTTTTAATGGCACTAGGGCCAGCTTGAGAGTCACTGGAGCACTATCACACAAAATGTCTGTCCAGAGGGCTCTGTTTCTGGCACCTCTTTAAGATTTGCCTGAAGTGGGCCAAGCTTTTGTCACTGAACATGTTGCAGATATGGCTTGTGTCAGCTTTCTTTGGGCCCATAGTGGCTTATTTCAATCACACTTAATAAACAAGCACAAAAACCAATGAATTTTATGGAAATGTTTGGATGAATGCATGGAGTATATGCTCATTCACCAAGAAACACAGGGAGACTGACTCACCTACACGCAGCATCCCAGCGGGAGGTAGGCTGACGCATATAATACGGATGATTTACGAGGCACTGGCTGAAATACAGAGCAAAATTCCTGCCCAAAAACCAGCCTAAATACAAATCGGCTGATATTCAGGGTTCCACTGTACCAACGCTTTTATATGGGTGTGAAGCATGGGTGGCGAATGTTGCAACAAGGAGAAGCCTGGAGGTGATGGAGATGTTGTTTCTGAGAGCAATGTGTGGTGTAAATATAATGCAGAGAATTCATAGTTTGGAAATCATGAGGAGATGCGGGATTACCAAAACTATTATCCAGAGGGCTTAGGAGGGGCTGTTGAGTCGATTCGGACATGTAGAGAGGATGGAACATAATAGAATGACTTTGAGAGTGTATAAATCTGTAGTAGAGGGAAGGTGGGGTAGGGATTGGCCTAGGAAAGGTTGGAGGGAGGGTGTAAAGGAGGTTTCGTGTATGAGGGGCTTGGACTTCCACAGGGGCGTCATAAGGGGGGGGGGCTGCCCCAGGTGACACCATTTAGGGGGTGACACCATAGAGCCTCTGAAGAAGGTGACACTAATGCCCAAAACAGTGCTGCACCAACATAGAAGAATCCTTCGTTTCTATATAGCCTATATATTAACAAAGTACAAATAAGCCTATATAGGGAAAATCATTGATTTTGATGATGTGATAGATGATTTTGTGTAATTGAAGGCAAGGAAATGTAAGATCAGATTCACTGAGATGTTACCTGTACTCAAGGTCAAATCGGAACTAGTGTTTCTCTGATATTGCAATGTTTTTCTTTATTTTTCAATTTTTTTTTGTTTTTTTTTTTGTTTTTTTGTTTTTGCATTGTTGAAGATGAATAAATGTAGGATCTGTTGCCTGTACTCAAAGTGGTATTTGAGTTTATGTTTCCTCAGTATTACTACGATTATTTATTTTAATATTAATAAAATTGAGAAGTATTCTCCTGTTTAGTTTATGGCCCTTAAACATTCTCCTGTTTAGTTTATGGCCCTTAAACATTCTCATTGCTAAACATTTGTCACTGGTCATGCAGTAGTGACATAACTCGAGTTTAAACCCCCCTTCCCCCGCCCTTGAATTTCATGGAGGTGACACCAAAGATGCTGCCCCGGGTGACACCAACTCTAGTGACACCTGTGGACTTCCAGCAAGCATGTGTGAGTGTGTTAGATAGGAGCGAATGGAGAAAAATGGTTCTTAGGACTTGACGTGCTGTTAGAGTGTGAGCAACATAAAATTTATGAAGGGATTCAGGGAAACTGGCAGGCTGGACTTGAGTCCAGTTTTGCTACATATAAAATGTTTCCTCTAGCTACTGATGTGTTTTTTTTATTATATTTATCTGTGTGTAGATTCTTAATCGTTTTCCATCCATGGCATCTTCTTTTCCAAAACATTTAGTGCTGCTCTGGGCTCACCTGTTCCCCTGTTCTCATTAACTAGTATATGGGATATTTCAGTAATGTACTACTTCCTTCTGTTGGGGTACATCCTTCTCTCTGGCTTTGTTATGTAGATGATGTCTTTGCTTCTTGGCTACATGAATCTAGTCTCTTCCAACCTTTTCTTTTTACCCTTAATAATCTAACTCAGTATTTCTTTTCCTTGATGTTAATGTTCACTGCTCTGTGACAGAATTCTGTTTTTCTATATACTTCAGTCTGTTGAGATGAAGGAAAAGTTGGTAGAGTACATCACCAACCCTAATGGTGAGGGCTTAACCATCGACCGTCATGTTAGTGCACAAGATCGTGGAAAGCTCTACCGTAACCAGGGTGATGTCTTCAGCATTGAAGATGACGATGGTGAAAGTGAGTAGATATAGTCTCAGGTTCATGAGTAATATGTAGAGAGCTTGACATCTGAGAGTCACATTAGTGCACAAGATGATGGCTAGCTCTACCATAACCAGGGTGACATTATTAGCTTTGAATGTGATGAAAGTGACAATGAGTAGTTATTGTCTCATGTTCATACATATTGTAATGATCTTAACCACTTACTGTCATGTTAGTGTATAAGATCACAGCAAGCTCTGCTGTAAACAGATACTACATCACCTATGGGAGAGCAAACCTCTTTTAAGATCATTTTGTTCGATAGTGATCGTTTAAAGTCCTAGAAGCACTTATTAGCTTCCCATGTATACATTTCATCTAATGAAGTTGTGATATCACTGTCAGGTTTGTGAGTCAGGTGTGGGTAAAGCTGTCACCTGGTGAAGTGAAGTGGATGGTGTGAGATGTGTCACTGTCAGGTTTCTGAGTCAGGTGTGGGTAAAGATGTCACCTGGTGAAGTGAAGTAGGTAGTGTAGGATGTGTCACTATAACATTCTCATGTCAGGTTTGGGCTTGATTAAAAGGCTGGTAGATAGAGATGTCACATATAAGAGTCAGTACATGCACAATGACTTGTGCTTCATGTTTTGTGATAATGAAGCACCTAGATTCTTTCTTTGGGCTAGATTTTTGAATGACTACTACTTTAATTTAGAGAATTATTTTGTACGATATTTAATTGCAATGTTATGGTGTCAGATAACCGAGGGCTGGAGCGATTGGGGGTGTTGAAGATATCTCAGTGGCTGAAGAAACCTGATGTAGTCTCATCATTTTCATGTCACCAAGTTAAGGAAAATGGCTACATGTATAAGTGGTAAGTGTCTTACTGGAATATTATGCCAAGTGCCTGATCAGCCAGGTTGTGGGCCTGCAGGATACTAACAGCAAGAGTCTGGTTGACCAGGTGGTCAACAGGGAAGCCTATCTTAATGCCATGTTCTCAAGGTACATAAATTCTGTTAACTGGTTACACACGTGTCTCAGGTAACTGTACAACAGCTCTTGTAGCACCTGCAAATGTCCTCTCACATCGTGTCCAAACATCAGTTCAAAAGAACTGTATCAGTGGCTTATTGAACAGTCTTTTTCATAGCAAAGAGCACCATTGGTATGGATCACTGAAGTCTGTAGGAAAATGCAGGTAGTAAGTTTACATAATTTGCCTTCAAGGTTTGATGGAACCTTTCAAGTGCTCCTTGTGGTTGGAAATGATAATCTGGAAGAAACCTTTTAACCCCTTGAGGGTCTGTCCCACAATTCTATGGCTTTGAAGCCAGGGTGAAGCCAGGGTACATGCTGTAGTACTACATCATTAGCTCAGTTCACTCAGATAAGATGTGAGTGGTAAATTTGGGCTTAGATATGAGAGAATGGACCTATGTGGTAAGTGTGTACCATATGATATACAGTGGACCCCCGGTTAACGAACTTTTTTCATTCCAGTAGTATGTTCAGGTGCCAGTACTGACCGAATTTTTTCCCATAAGGAATATTGTGAAGTAGATTAGTCCATTTCAGACCCCCAAACATACACGTACAAACGCACTTACATAAATACACTTACATAATTGGTCGCATTTGGAGGTGATCGTTAAGCGGGGGTCCACTGTAAATCCTGCAGCACACAGTGCATAATGAGAAAAAACTGCGACAGTGTTTCTGAATTAAAACAGTGACTTTGTGGTGTATTTTCTTATGTTTTTTATGATTGTATTCATGGTTTCTTGGTCTCATTTGATAGAATGAAAAATACATTACACAAAGAGAGATAATTTTGATTGATTTTAGTACTGAAAATAGTTTGAAATTGAGCTCAAAGTAGCAGAAATGTTTGATTTTTGCCGATGTTCAAGAGTAAACAAATCATGTCACCCGTCCAATATACGTCAACTGGTGGGTCTAATATACTTCCACAAATGCGCTGATATTTATACAATTATTACAGTTTCTTGTGCTTAATCGATAAAATAGAAGGGATACTAGCGAAATAGCTAAGAATTTGGTCAACTGGAATAATGTAATTGGCCTAAAATTGGAGTCAAAGTGGGCAAAATCGCCGATGTGTAAACATCACTGGTGCAGTAAAATTTCCAATAGTGTAATTTCGTCAATTTTCCATCAAATTTCGTACTTTTTGTTTTATTACCTTCAGAAAAAGATTCTTTATCTTTTCATAAGAAAAAATAACAGATTTTTTTCTAAATTCTTGGACCCTCTGGACAAGTTTCAGATCAAAGGACACAAGTGCAACTAATGTGACATTTTATTGTGGAAGTGTTTCGCTCTCCAGGAGCTTTATCAAGCCGTTACAGGCAATACATGGACACAGAGGATATATATAGGCTTAGAGTGAGGTGTAATACTAGTGGTGGTAGTAGCAGTAATATTAGTTGTAGTAGTAGTAGTAATACTTGTGGAATTAACTTGCACAAGAGTAAAAAGTTATAAAAGCTATTATACTTAGGTAGTATAAAAATTGGTTAGACAAATATTTCTGTTAGTGGTTGGATTTGAGAAGGCCTGTTTCAGTGTTCCTCCTCTGATGTGTTCTTGTGTAGTATTAGCAGCAGCGACTATGTGATGGTAGGTTTTATTGTTTTGAGGAGGATTTTTGCTAATACAGTGGACCCCCGCTTAACGATCACCTCCAAATGCGACCAATTATGTAAGTGTATTTATGTAAGTGCGTTTGTACGTGTATGTTTGGGGGTCTGAAATGGACTAATCTACTTCACAATATTCCTTATGGGAAAAAATTCGGTCAGTACTGACACCTGAACATACTACTGGAATGAAAAAAGTTCGTTAACCGGGGGTCCACTGTACAGTGGTCCCTCAATAATCGTCGGGCTCGATAGTTGTCCTTTTCGGAAATCGTCGCGTTAGTTTAGTCCAAGCATTGGCTCACAAATGGTTGACTGACTCGCTAATCATCGTTTGTCCTGGATGCGTACTCACGGCTCTGAGCTGCCTTGGCCTCCCTTCCCAGCAAGTGTGCCATTGTTTACCAGTGAGTGACGGTCCCCTCACTTCATACGAAATATTTCATAATATTCCATTCATTTTAGTGCTTGCAAGTGCTAAATAAGGTACCATGGCTCCAAAGAAAGCTCCTAGTGCCAAGCCTTTAGTAAAGAAGATGAGAAATACGATTGAATTTAAGAAAAAACATCATTGAACAATATGAAAGCGGCGTACGTGTGGCCGAACTGGCCAGGATGTATAACAAATCCCGTACAACCATATCTTCCATCGTGGCCAAAAAAAAGGAAATCAAGGAAGCTGTTGTTGCAAAGGGGGTAAATATGCTGACAAAAATGAGATCACCAGTACTTGATGAAATTAAGACACATGTGCAACATCTGGATATCTTTATTGTAGACGTTTCGCCATCCAGTGGCTTTATCAATACAAATTCCAGGACATAACTTGAAGACAGTAGGACTATATACAGAAGATGAGGTAATCAGTCCGTCAACCTTGGAGTAGGTGTGAAGAGCACCGTAGTCGTGGAGATTCTGAAGCAGAAGCAAGGAGCCTGGCGCTTATATAGTAACGTCAGGTGTAGCAGACGAGGGCATAGTCACTGGTAGGCGGGATTCCCCAGTGGAAGTAGGTATTGATAAAGCCACTGGATGGCGAAACGTCTACAATAAAGATATCCAGATGTTGCACATGTGTCTTAATTTCATCTTGTCGGTATTATATACTATTCTTGCACAACTTGTCAGACACTGCAACATCATGGAATCTTGATTCTAAGGACATGCACATAACCTTTATGACTACGACAACTACTACTACAACTAACCCATCTCTTTGGGAAGGACCTACTTCCACTGGGGAATCCCGCCTACCAGTGACTATGCCCTCATCTCCTACACCTGACGTTACTATATAAGCGTCAGGCTCCTTGCTTCTGCTTCAGAATCTCCACGACTACGGTGCTCTTCGCACCTACTCCAAGGTTGAGGAACTGATTACCTCATCTTCTGTATATAGTCCTACTGTCTTCAAGTTATGTCCTGGAATTTGTATTGATAAAGCCACTGGATGGCGAAACGTCAAAATAAAGTATCAGTGTTGCACATGTTTAAATTTTATCTTGTGGGTTTTATACCATTCTTGCACATCCAATACTTAAAGAGGTTGAAAAGTTTTTGGTTTGTGGATAAACGAGCAACAATTAGCATGAGATAGTCTTATGACGTCGATTATTGTAAAAGGTTGGCAGTTGCATGACAATCTGGTAAAGAAACTGCCTGCAATGAGTACTGATATTTGGAAATTTTAAAGGCCCAGAAAAAGTTGGTTTGAGGTTTTTAAGAAACCTTTGTGGCATAAACAGTGTGTAAGGCATGGCGGGCTGCCCCCTCGGACAAAAATTGCAGCTACAAAATTATAAGTGAATTAAAGGGTAATAGGGCTAAAGGATTTAAACCAAACAAGTTTTCAATTTGATGAAAAGCCTCTTTTGGAAAAAAATGCCAAAGGGAAACCAAATTATAGGAGGAAAAGGGAAATCCCGGAAACAAGCCTATAAAAGGACAGGCTGACGCTCATGTTCTGTGCTAATGTAGTGGGGTTTTTCAAAGTAACCCGTTACTAGGTACCTTTCTAAAAATCCGAGTGTTCAGGAAAAAAAATGTTATGACGAGTAAATTGTGTGTTTTGGGAGATTAAAATAAGGCATGGGTCAGAGGAAATTTTTCGTGAGGGTTAAATAAAGGTTTTTGGGCCCCTAGTGTGAAGAACTACCTCCTGAAAAAAAAAATTTGGTCTAAAGGGCCCTCCTGTAATGGAAAATGCACCTGTCATCCCCCCAAACTTGGATGACCAAATTCTGCAGGGTTTGGGTTTCCACAGTAAATTTCTTCCCCCTGAACATCACTCCTCTCTCCAGCCCATGGACAGCAGGTCATTTAAAAACTTTAAAAAAACTCTACACCAAGAAATGTTTCAAAGGTGTTTTTAATTTGACCTCGACATCACTTGACTTTAAGGAATTTTTTTAAAAGAAAACTTCAGTATCCTCCATTGATAAGTCTTGTAGGTGGTTGGGAGGGGGGTGACTACCCGGCTTTGAACTCTGCTTGGAGAAAATTTTGGGCCCGATTGTGTCCACAAGATGGAAATTTTTAAAGGGTTTTTTGGCTGACCCGATGAGCATATGTCAGTTGTGAACTCTATTGTGGCATTGGGGGTTCCATGGGGTTGGTGTGAGTTTGGAGGATGTGGAAGGTTGGTGGAGGCCACAACGAAGAGCTAACCGAGGAGCGCAAAAGCTTCGCAGGAACGCAACAAAACGCAGCTCAGAATCTTGTGCAGAGGGGAGGAAGAGAGATGGAAGAAAGGTGCCCTTCTTCAGAAATTAAGGAGATTTTTGAAATTTTGGGTTGGTGGAAAGATTTATGGAGAAATATCACCCGAAAGGATGTTGCAAGCCCTTCTACATGACCAAAATGCTATAGCTATATTACTTGTCCAAACTTCCCACACTAACAGGTTATCAGTATAAAACTCAACAACACACTCAGGATATAAATAACCATAATTTAAAACCTAGAAGATGATTGATCCACGTTGACCCTGATCTCTAAACCATAATAATCTGACACACAATCCATAAAACATATTGGAATGTAACTGACTTTACTACACAGGCATCACAAGCAAGCACTTCCTAAACAATGATAAAAGTTATCAGTACTTTACTACAACATCAGTCCTTAAGCGTACACTATGATGACCTTGGCACTCCTTGTATCACGTAAAGACACCTTCTCCTGCATTTTCTTACCGAGACTGGCTCCT